CATCGGACCAAAGTTATAATACCATTTCATGCTCATGAAAGGTATAATAAACAATTAAATGAAATTGGAAAACAAATGAATAAAATAAATGAAAATACGATTTTTATAATGCAAAAGCAATAAGAACCATTTTTATTATAAATAGTTTTTTAATAAAAAGAACAAAAACAACAAATTCAGTCCTTAACAAAGTACATATTTATGTACATAGTACATAGTAGTGTGTACCTGTGTATATTAAACATTAAATAACCACAGGAAATATAACCAAAACTGGTCAAAATAAAAAGTTGATATTATTCCTTCCATCACTGTATGTACGTACAGTCATGTGAAAAATAATAGGGACACGACATTTTGATTAGTATTGCTTATTTTTCTTTTGTTTATTTAATGATTTTATTTTTTTTTAATACAGCTTATTTTTTAACAAAAACCATCGGTCTAAATTTCAAACTTTGTAGAAAAATAAGAAAAATGGAACAAATTTTTACATCAAACTTTTTAAAGAATTTTTATCAAATTATCAAAAATCAACGCCAAGTCTTAGCCACTTGAAAGTTGCGTTTTAATGAGATAGAATTTAATGGACTACAAAAATGCATATTTAGAATTTTTTTAAAAATTGTTTAAAAAGTTTGATGTAAAAATTTGTTCAATTTTTCTTATTTTTCTACAAAGTTTAAAATTTAGACCGATGGTTTTTGTTAAAATATAAGCTGTATTAAAAAAAATTATAATCATTAAACAAACAAAAGAAAAATAAGCAATACTGGTCAAAATGTCGTGTCCCTATTATTTTTCACATGACTGTATGTATGTACATTAAAAACAAAACTTCAAAAAAAAATAAAATTCAGTCTGATTCACACTTATTCACATTCTTATTATTTAATATTGCCCTTTAAATCTTCTATCTCCAATAGACGACGATTTCTCTCTATTTTACTCTCCACTTCACTAAGTCTAAGTTTTTCCATAAATAAATTATGTCGCTTCATTTCTTCCACTTTTTCCTGTTCTAGTTGAAACATTTTTTCAAAATTTTGCTTTTGAACGTCATAAATCCGATCAAGGGAGCGATAAATTTTTTTTGTAATTTCCTTTTGGTCCTTTAAACCCGTCACAGCCTCTTTTATTGACTCACACACCTCTTTCTGCACACCGATTTCCTGTACAAACATATCGTTAGTATAGCTATTTTGCTTTTTTGGCTCGCCTTGCGGAGTGTTGCGTTTTTTTTTTCGTTGGCGGCTGATACGGAGTAACTTCCTCAAGTTCTTCAATAGTGCTATCGAGTATATCATTCTCTGCTGTGGAATTATCTGCAGGTGACTTTGTCACATGACTTGAAAGGCCAAACTTGAGTGTATTTGATACACCCTCCACAGATTCCTTCATCCCAACTAACTCGTATATGGCTTCTTCAGTAGGCGACAATTTTTGTTCCATGTTGGGTCCTCCACCAGTTCCTTTGCTGGCTTTTAGATTTTGGGCCGCCTTTCGCCGTACGTATTTTTTTTTGATCAGCCCAAACCTGAAATATGTATTGCACTTTTAATTCTTATACCCTCAAGTAGCTTATCATCATTACCTTTTTCCATTCGCACACATTTTTCATTGGTGGCCCTGCTGAGTTTAAATCCTCTTCCACCTGGCGCCAAAACTTGTTAACATCGTCCTTCTGGCCTTTAAAAAAACCGCGCGCAATGTCTGGGTGCGCTTGCATGCGACTTAAAAGCAGCTCGATCTGATGTTTATTGGTTGTTTTTGACCTGGGTGTAATAATAATGTTATTAGTAATCATTTTAATAAAAGTAAATAATAATAAATATTCCATTTATTATGCAAAAATTTAATTACTTACATTTTTGATAAGGACTCTCTTTAAATTTCTTAGCGGAAAAATTCTCCAGAAATGTCAACACAATCTCCCTTTTTTTCACATTCGTAATAGCTACTTTTTACGCGAGAAACAAATTCCCATTTTCGAAGTTTATTTGGAATTGGAGGAAAAGGAAAAGAGAAAAAAATCCCCGACATATGCCATTCAGAATAGGAGGAAAGGGAAAAGAGAAAAAATTCCCCGAGAGTTGTCATTCAGAATCGGGCTGATTGAGAGTTTTGTGGAGAGTTCTGTTTTTTTAGTCGAAAGAGAACTCTCCTCTTCAAGCGCCTACCAAGCCCAAAGCAGCACCCGTTAGCGAGACTTATTTTTCACTTGATCTCCAAGCTAAGATTCTAGATGGGGACTGTAGCGCCAGCTTCACGTCAAAACGGCTTTGAAATCGACGAAAATATCATGAGTCTCAAATTGTTTGTGAAAATCTGGTCAATGCTGCAACTTCCAGTTTCCAGGCCATACTGAAAAGGTTCAATCAGTATATTGGGAATGTTCAGCCTTACCCAGAGTATCGTTAATCAGAGCATATAGGCGATATTGATATGATTATTCCCTCCGTTATTGCCACAAACAGCAAGACAACTTTTCTTATGGCTTGGGCGCAGAGTTCTCTGAGATACTTCACTTCGCACAGAATTACCCTTAAGCCGGTATACTGTTGGCCGAGTGCAGGGATTTAACCAACGTCCCTATTCAAGGTCGAAATTCCTGAAAGGGGCTGCTGTGGAGCGATAATTTCTATGATATACAAAGGGCCCCAAGTATGGTATACCGATGGATCGAAAAAGGGAGACGACAGTATTGGGTCAAGCGTACTTTGAGAGAGATTCCAGAAAAGTCTACCAATAAGCTGATACCCAACCATATTCCAGGTGGAAGTCTTCGCAGGCGAAGTCTGTGATCAAGAATGTCTTCGCAGAAAGACAAACGGGGCCAGAACAAATATTATGTCGGCTAGTTAGGTAGCATTAAAGGCCTTAAACTCATTTAGAACGACATGAAGTCTTGTGGACAGTTGTAAAACTCTTTTGAACCGCCTATAATCCCATAATAGAGTGGCGCTGTGGTGAGCCCGTGTCTGACTATCGCGCAAAACGTGGAGCCCAAATGCGCGTGCCTGGTCCCGAGCCTTTCCGCGCCACATCTAAAGAATACACTGCAGAATTGTTTAGTAGTTGGGAAGAATCTCAGATTGCTGCCCACCGGGTGCAGTATTTTGATCTGCCTTTTGTTTCTCTTTAGACAATATTCCTTCTCTTTTCCGGCACAACTTGCTGACTGGCGCACATTCTGCATAATACGGAGTTGCATGCGGATCTTAGCTCTCGGCCGGCAGTCGTATTTATAACTTATGTACATATATTAGGTCGCATTACTTTCGGAAGGCAGGCTCAAAGGCTGGGAGTTATAAATAACGATTGTTTTGTTAGAAGCTGCGAAGAGAAAGAAGAGCCAAAGACATTTAGGCATACACTATGCCAATGCCTAGCAGTTTGTAGAGGAATACGGAAACATTTGAGCCAATCGACCACAACCGTAGACTGGTTTGATTATAGATATGTTGTCGCGATCTGCGTGGTATCACATTGAATTCGATTGACGTACGTATCTAAGTGTACCGGTATTATAACCGGCAGCTACTCGACTTACCTAAACAAAATCAAACTTAAATATTTTCTAGGCAATTCGCTCCTCATCAGCACTTCGTATTAAAGCGAAGACATATTTGTATTGATGTTATGCCTCAGAAGTGATCAATACTCCCACTACTTTAACCTGAGTGGAAAATTACCTTTATTTTAAGAAGTAAAATTTAGAGTTGAAGCAAGTGAAAATACTCGTACTTTGCTCTAAGGTACTGTTATACAATCGACATTAGTTATAAAATCAAATTTGGCATTTCAACCGGATTTTTAAGTTGCAAAAAAGAGTAAATAATGAGGTGACACTTTTGCATATTTCAGACCGTTTAACCCATATTTAAACGTTTATTTACTTAGTACACCATTTCTATCATTTTGCCACATCTCCTCTTTATAAAGCAGCACTTAAAAATATAAGTGTCCACCTTCCGCTCTGACAATTCGTTTCTACCCTGTGGGGAAAATCTCTAGTTCTGAACTGGGGCGCTTCTAGTACATTTAGACCCAGTACTGGTTCGCGATAAATCTCTTTTGCATGCAAGCAACTGGCGAATTTAACATGGCGATGTCCTAGGAAGTGTCAATTGCCCCCCGCTGTATCCCTTTTTCGATAGTTCCGAACTAGTCCTAAATTCTATAGTTCCGGACCAGTTCTAAAATCGATAGACGAAAGAAAAAAGTATCATGATTTTTCAATCTGTTTGGTTCTTCCGTGTGTGCGATTTTACATTATTTTCAA